TGGCACACAGCCCTCTCCGTAAAGCAGGAGCTTATGAATGGTCAGTTGACAGTCTGACGATGGTGAAAATGGTAGCAGCATCCAGAATCTGCGGTCTCTCAAACCCCTCTCGCTGCTGGTGTGAAGATCTGGTCCAGATGCTATAGATCGAGAACTTACAGCAGCACCGTTAGAAAGTAATAAGCCTCCCCCAGCACCCACACACACACTCAGAATAGAGCCCAGTCATCAGCACTAAGCTGTTAGAGAATATAATGGAAAAAGGATATTAAAAATTGAAACAAATGCAAGAATAGCTGGGAGCAAACTGAGTGCAGAAACCACAAAGCTGAAGGATGTTAAAACCGTGTGCGTGACTGGAGGCCCATCCCGCGTTTCTGATCTGGAAGACGGATGATGTGGTCTCTGTCAGGGTACAAGAAGAGGCTTTGTTTTTTATGTTTTGGGGTTTGAGGGTTTTACCGTTTGTTTTAGTTTTCCCTTGAAGAAAAAAATGGAAAGCAGTGCTCAAATGATTTTTTGAAAGAAAAATTCTAAAGGACATCTTACACAGCCAGATAGGAAAATGTGATGCAGAGGTTTATTTACTGCCTGGGGTCTTTAAGGCAAAAGTCCTTTCAGAAGGTTAGGTTAGGAACAGCGACATCAAAAAATGTTGCTTGTGTGTCTGTGCGGAGAGGGCATGAGAGGCTTTCTGTTTCCTCTCTGATCCCGGGGGAGAAGCAGGTGTTTTAACTGAGGAAAATAGGATTTGGTGTCTGGTCTGGATTTAGGCTGCTTAGTGTAGCTATATAGATGACTGCGGATGTTTATAATTTCATCGTTCTTATGATATTTCTGGTTGCTCCATTATTTTTTAGGTCACCCATACATTTTCAAGTTTCTGTTCAGAGGAAAACGTTTCTTAGGGGTTTCTCAAGGTTTTGCAGAAGTACATTTTGTTTAAGTTAAATCCTACTTTTCCTTTGAAGATTTAACAAAATATGTTAACACTAAGACTTACCTGGTTGCTCAGCGAAATATTTGAAATTAATAAAATCTTGTAGTTTTAAGAATACATAATTGAGAGGATCAGCCAGTACGTTGGGTTGGTAGCCAAATAAGCAAATTAACACCCAGTTCACTGTAAAATGTAGGTGACCCAGCATCCCTTCCCCTCTGGCCCCATTTTAGTTAGCTGAAAATCAGTTTTCTTCTGAGGTTGGAGGAGGAGGTGGTGGTAGGGACGATGATATTGCTGGTGTTTATTGAGCACTTACTCTGTGACAGCTCTTGCTCTGAGAACTTCCCGCTTACATAATTGCCACCAAAAAACCTATGAATTCTCCCCATTTCAGAATAGGAGAAACTGAGTCACAGCGGGTTTGAGTGGCCTGCCCAGGGTCACAGAAATAGGAAGAGGCAGGCCCAGGGTTTGAATCCAGACATCCCGACTCCAGAGCTTGCTCCATTAACCATCCCTGTGCTTCCTCTCTCTGTTTGAGGTGTAACTTTGGTCTCTCTGTTGATCATGATTTTTTTTTTCAGCCTCTTGTATTGACCCAGAGAAGGCTTTTAGGGTGTGATTTAATACTGGCCACAGAGGGGGTGACCAGAAATGGCCCGGCACTATCACCTCCTTGTTACCCTTCACGTAAAGCCGTGGCCGTCTGAGCCTTTCCCATCTAGACCCCGATGCTGGTCGTGTGGATGGAATTCTGCCCCCTCCCCTCTGCTGCTCTCCCTTCCCTTCCTTTCTGTTGTCTTCCCGGTGACTGCTGAGTTCCTCGTGCAGGGAGGAGGCCGAGGGAGGCAGTGCTGAGGCTCTTGTCTCCCAGCTCCAGAATCTCCCCTTTCTACTCCTAGTTCTCCACCTGCTTTTATTTGGGAAGCACCTTGCAAACCATCCGCAGACCCTCGGACCACAGTGAGCCCCGCACAGGCGTCCCTTCTGGAAACATCCTCTGAAAGTCCCTCCTCCGTCTTGTCCTGTTTAAGGGGGGTGCAGTGGCCCAGAAATTCCGTTAGGGTAATCTGGCCCAGACAGAGGGCCCTGCCTTGGGCCTGGTCAGAATGCAGGGTGGCCCGTTAGGGCTGGAGCCGGGCCAGAGGCCACATTACAGCTACTTCCGTGCTGGGGGTTCACGTCGGACTCCTTAATGAGGCCGGGGACTCGGGTTTTCCTGCACATGTTTGCTTGTTTTCCTGCTGCAGGGGCCGCCAACCTGTGGAGCTGTGCGAAATGCTCAAGAATAGCCCGTGATTCAGGGGCTTGGCATTTTGCACGGTCCCCGTGGCCTGGCGGCAGTTGCCCTGCACCGCTCTCAAAATAACCGTGTTCGACGGCAGGCAGCCTCGGAGAGCGACCTGTTTCTTAAAGTTGTATGAGTCCGTTCCTGAAAAATGACCCTCGAAGAGCTTTAGAGCAAATCATACGTTTCCGGTCTCTGATCAGCAGTTTGGTCGATGCCTTTGCTGTATTAGTCTTGGGGCTGAGTTGAAGGGGGATGGGAGACTGTGTCTGCCACTGAGCTGCGTGTGCCACTTGGGGCGTGAACTCAGTGACCCGTGCCCAGCCGGGCACTGGTGGGCAGGGAAGGTGACGTGTGCCCCTGCCTTCCGGGGTCCAGCCATTGAGGGGGGACGCAGGCGAGGGACTGGGTTCTTTCTCCAGGAGGCGCTTGTGCCCTTCTAGGAGAGCCCTGCAGCAGGGGCGTTTTGAGTGAAATCACCAAGAGAATTTCCTCGCATTAACACGGCCCGGAGGGTCTGTCTGCAGGGTCTGTGCTGTCTGCGGGGCGTGTGCGGCACCACAGTCTGTGGCCTCTCCGGGAGGCCTAGTGGCGTTGCAGGGGAGGGCTTGGGAGCCCAGGCCGCCTGGGTTCACGTCTCACGCTTCTGCGGGGGAGCTGTGTGCCCTCAGCTAAGATGCTGTCTCTGTGCTCCTGCCTTCTCACCTGGAGGGTGAGGATGGGGCGGCTCGGACTGTGTGGCTTACAGATGTGAGGGTGACAGCGGTGCTCGGTGCCTGGTGTCAGCCAGGGCTGGCCGAGGCCCTGGGCGTGGGCAGTGGTGGGGGTGTCTCTCGTCCCCGCCCCAGACCAGGGGCCGGTGCCCCGTGTCGCACACCAGAGCGCCCTCCTCAGGGCCCGAACTCAGCAGCAGCTTGGAGATGCTTCGGATTTCTCCTGCAGGAGGAACGGAACATTCTCCTTGGAGGGTGGGGGAGGATGCTTTCCCCCAGGGGATCTTCTTAATCCTGAACGCCCCCAGGACCTGTCACTGATGACTTCTGCTGACCTGAACTCCTCACGGGCACCTTCTGTCCCGACTCAGGCAGCTCGAGGCAGAGGCCCTGCGGTAGCCGAGGCTCGCTGCTGCGCGGGCCGGGGAGGATCTGAACTGGAACGTGGCCCCTCTCCCTGCCCCGGCCCCCTTGGCTGTAGGATGCCACCTGTCCTGCCGCTGTAATCCTGGGGTGCAGACCCCTGGAGTGTGGCTTTCACCCTGAACATTCCTCTTATACAGACCTCAGGATTTTCTGGGCAGTGGAAGGTGTTTGTGTTCCTGGAACCTAAAGCGCTTGGTCATGAGGGTGTGGGATTAGTGAGTCGGTGTCCTGTTTGCTGGCCTTCGCCCTGGGTGAAGGGCTGGGGCTCTGGAACCGGGCCCCTGACTTCCCGCGTCCACACACGTGTGCTCTGCAGTCGCTGCTGCCGCGGCAAGCCCTCCCGTGTGCACCTCCAGGAAAGCCCTCCTGGCCGCCTCTGCTTTCTTCCAGCTGCTCCCGGGGTTCTCACATTCGCGGGGATCACCACGTTCAGAATGGATGGAAATAAAGCTCGGTGCGGTTTGCCTGAACTGCCAGGTCCCTGCTCGTTCTGGGCTCCCTCCTCTGTCCTTCTGCCCAGCGCTCGGTAGTGTTATCAGCTTTTCCAAGTGGGCTCCGGTCTGGGTGCCCTTTGCCGTATGCAGAGTGTTTCTTGGAACTGGAGGCAGTGACTTCACACGTTGCTCTAGCAACCAAAGGACTGTTGCACCCATAGCGGCGGCCGCTGGCGGTCTCTGGGAGCATCAGGCCGGTGGACAGCCCAGCGCTACCCCCACTGCTCGCCGGTCTGTCAGGCCGACGCTCCTCAGCGCCGGCGTCTGAAGTGGTGGATGGGAATAACTACTTAATGAAGACTGTAATTTTAGAACTTTGGAGCTAGATATAACCAAAGGAATCACCTAGTTGGGTACTTTTTCACCATTTTATTAAAGGAGGTAATAAAATGCCACACTGGATGGAGTGAGGCCCCAGGGTTGGGATGGGGGTGTCTGCAGCGCTGCCTTCCTTTTCTGCCTGTCTGCCTCCCATCTTTCCTCTTTTTGTCATCTCCAAGATGTCCCCGTGGAACCCAGTTTGAAAACCACAGGTGCAGTCCAGCTGCCTTACAAACAAGTGTCAGTTCCTGCCCTGCTCCTAGTCGGCCCTCTGCAGGCTGCCCCCAGCTTGACTCCAGGAAGGTCCCGGTGGGGGTTGTAATTGTTCTGGGACCTCTAGCCTAGGGTGACGTGCCATGCATGGGCCACTCCCTGCTTCCCACAGAAGCCAGACCCTGCCCGCCCGCCCCTCCTGGGCCCAGCTCTCTCCAGCGCCTCCTCGTTCATGCCCTCCTTGCCCTGGATAGGGAGGGCTTTCTAGAGGGGCTTGGCTCCCCAGTGCTGCTGAAGCCCTCGCCCACTCATTTTGTTCATTTGGCTGGTATTGGCTGTACAGCCGTTGGGTGCAGGCTTTGTGCCGGGTAGCAGGGACGTGGTGGTGAGCAGAGCAGGGCAGTCTGGTCCAGGTTTGCTGAGGCTGGTGGGTGGGCTTGCCAGCCCCCTGGTGCAGCCCTGCACCAGCCCCCTCTGCAGACATGAGTCCTAATACACAGGACACTGTGGCCATTGACCACATACTACATAATATGTCTTATTAAAGGCACGTTGTGCTCTCTCATTTCCTGATGAATTATTTTTTAAATTTATTTTTACAGGGCCTTATTGGAAGGAGAAAGTAATCCGGAGATACTGATCTGGACTGAGCATGTTGAAAACATGCCACCAGGTAAATAAAAGAAAAGCGAATTATTTAACTTTAAAATGCTTTCCAGGCTGGGCGTGGTGGCTCAGGCTTGTAATCTCAGTGCTTTGGTCTCCTTCCTGTGTCTTGGGATCTGTCCAAAGGAGGCCTCTGGCCTTGGCTGGCATGAGGGAGACTGACAGGGAGAGAAGGCTCCGTCCCAGCTCAGCCGCATGGGGTGTGGGCATACACGAGGGCACACTTGCAGGGTAACCGGTGCTCCCAGCCGGGTTCTAACCCCTGGCTGCCATTCCCAAGAGCGGGTTACCCTGGTAGAGTCTGGACACCCCAAAGGGCAGCACTCCCCGTGGAGAGTCCCAAGCAAAGCCAGAAGCCCCGAGGATTGCCTCCCACCTCGACCATCATTAAAACAGACTGTAGTGTTTCTGCGGTGGCACCTTTTCAAATGAGGAGGTTATCAAGTGCAAAAATAGAAGGAACTAGGAAGCTTTAAAAAAGTCAAATTCATCAATACTTGTTGGCCCAATATGGAAATCGGTGAAAAGAGCGAGCATATTATAGAGTGGAGGGGTTATGCTACTTGGTATTTCGTAATTAAATACTTTGTAATTACAGAGCTCTTCTCTGCTGCACTAAGTAAAATGAACTTAGCAAAGTGGAAATTAATGATTCCAAAATATCCTAATATTGTGAAATTTCAGCCACAAAAACTAGCACCTCTGACTTCTCTGGCACGTGTGCTGTGCTTTACGATCCACATTTGATATTTTTGTTAGGATGAGTGAATATTTTAAAATCAGAAACTGGAGAAAAGTATTAGGCTGAAATATCTGTAGCGCTGCTTTTTACTATAATAGGATTTTTACAACTACCAAAAGATCATTTTGGCACCGAAAGTATTTTATTTATAATGATCTTTCTGTGGTAATAGTGTATATTTTTTAGGATGGGATGGGATTTGACCCACTACAGTGCTTTTAAGATGAAGAAAGGTAATGATGTCTATCATTTTAATGAACTGTTTGTTCAATTTCTACAGAATTCAGAACCAAGTCCTACCAATACACTGGCTCAGCATTACAGAGGGAAAACGAAAGAAATCTGTTGTCACGGCAGAAGGCACCTTTGGCAGGTTTAAATCGCAGCTCGGCCGTGTACTCTAACCGGTCCGGGTACGCTGCATCTCAGACGACCACGTCTGTTGGCAGTGCTGCCAGAAGAGGCCTCCTGGGGTTGGGATATCCTTCCCCGGCCACTGGCCAGCAGGAGAATTCTTACGGCAAAACTGTCAACAGTCAGACCAGTTTCAGAACCTTCTCTCCAACCTATGGTCTTTTAAGAAACACTGAAGCTCAGGTGAAAACATTCTCCGACAGACCGAAAGCTGAAGGCGCAAGGGCTGCCCCCGCTTACTCAGCCAGAGAGCCCACGGTGGTCCAGGAGTCGCACCGAGACAGCGTGGCAGCAGGTGCCCCCAGAAGCACTCGGTCAAGTGAGAGGACCGTCACTTTGGGAAAGAAGACAGAAGTGAGTACCACAAGGGAGCAAGAAGGAAACAGACCAGCAACCATCAAAGCAAAGCAAGAAGAAAAACTGTTTGATTCTAAAGAGAAGGCTTCAGAGGAGAGAAACTTACGGTGGGAAGAACTGACGAAGTTAGACAAGGAAGCGAGAGAGAGAGAGAGCCGGCACATGAGGGAGAGAGCCCGGGGGAAGGAATCGCTGAAGGAGAAAAGCGTGAGCGAAAGAGAGGTACCGGTTAGTCTAGAAGTATCCCAGGACAGCAGACCAGAGGCGTCCCCGAAAGGTCCGCAGACACCCGTAAAGAAGGAGGCTGGGGACGCTACCGGCCGAGAGGCGGAGACAAGAGAGGCTCGGTTCAGGTTGGGTGACACCGCCAGCTCTCCGCAAGGCGACTCCACGACAGAAACCATCGCAGAAAACATCGTTACCAGCATCCTTAAGCAGTTTACTCAGTCTCCAGATGCAGAAGCATCTGCTAATGCTTTCCCAGACACAAAAGTCACCTACATGGCCAGGAAAGAGCTTCCTGGTGAAAAGAAAACAAAGACTGAAATCGTCGTGGAGTCTAAGCTGACTGAAGACGTCGACATTTCCAACGAAGCTGGCCTAGACTACCTTTTGAGCAAGGATATGAAGGAAGTGGGGCTGAAAGGGAAGTCGGCTGAGCGGATGATAGGAGACATAATCAACCTGGGTCTGAAGGGAAAGGAGGGGAGAGCAAAGGTGGTCAACGTGGAGATCATCGAGGAGCCTGTGAGCTACGTGGGAGGTGACAAGGCAGAGGCCTTCTCCGTCCCGTTCGAGGTGGAGGAGGTCGATGATGTGTCTCCGGGCTCCAAGGGGCTTGTTGAGGAAGAGGAGAGTTATGGAGAGACCGATGTCACGTTCTCAGTTAATCAAAGTCAAAGGACCAAGCAGCCCCAGGAGAACATAACTCACGTTGAAGAGGTGACAGAGGCAGGTGACTCAGAGGGCGAGCAGAGTTATTTTGTGTCGACTCCAGACGAACACCCCGGGGACCACGACAGAGATGACGGCTCTGTGTATGGGCAGATCCACATCGAGGAAGAATCCACCATCAGGTACTCTTGGCAGGATGAAATCGTGCAGGGGACGTGGAGGAGAAGAAAGAGGGACGACGAGGTGGGCGAGCAGGTTGTGAAGCCCCTGGATGTCCCAGCACCCTCTCCGGAGGGGGAGGTGGGTTCTACTCACTGGAAAGAACAAACTAGAAGTGGTGAATTTCACGCTGAACCCATAGTCATCGAAAAAGAAATTAAAATACCGCACGAATTCCACACCTCCATTAAGGGCATGTCCTCCAAGGAGCCCCGGCACCAGCTGGCGGAGGTCATCGGGCAGCTGGAGGAAACCCTTCCCGAGCGCATGAAGGAGGAGCTGTCCGCCCTGACCAGAGAGGGTCTAGATGAGTCAGGGGGCGTTTCGGTGGACGTAAAGAAAGTCCAGACCTCTGGCGGGGGTTCCGTGTCCTTGGTGGCTGAGGTCAGCCTCTCGGAGACCGTGGATGCCGATCAGTTAGACCTAGAGCAGCTTAGCAGAGACGAAGCTGGGGAGATAGAGAAAACCGTGGAGTCGGTGGTACGAGAGAGCTTGGCCAGGCGACATGGCTCAGCGCCGGGAAGCCCAGACGGGGAAGATGGGGCGGAGGCACCGGGCGTCGGCCTTCGCTTCAAGCGCTGGGCCACCCGGGAACTGTACAGCCCCTCCGCTGAGAGGGAGGAGGCTGGCGAGGCCTCTCGTGGCAGGGAGCGGCTCACTTCCCCGGGCCCGGTCTCGGCCACCCTGGAGGTCAGCAGCCCAGGGGCCGTCGCCCAGTCACACGTGCTGGAGGACGTGAGCCGCTCCGTAAGGCACGTTAAACTAGGCCCCACTGAGATCTGGAGGACTGAGCGAGTCTCGCAAGGAGGACCCACTGCAGGAGTGGCGGAGGTAAGTGGGGGAGGCGACCCGAGTCAGGCAGCGAGCTCGGCCGGAGTGTCGGGTCCCCATCAGAGTCAAGTGTCCAAGGAAGCCTTCTTCCAAGGCCCTGTCCCTGCCTGTCAGGAGGCGGGAGGCACGGAAGACGCTGGCCCGGCAGAGTTTCCCGCAGATGCCACCGACAGCTCGGGGAGGCACAGCACATTTGGCTCCAGACAGTTTCATGCCGAGAAGGAAATTACCTTTCAGGGTCCCATTTCTGCAGCAGGGAAGGTTGGTGATTCTTTTGCAACAGAAGCGGCGGCGGGTGTCCAGACTTCTGTAAGGCACCTTCAGTTAGGCCCTAAAGGAGGGTTCAGTGAGCACATCCAGTTCGTAGCCCCGCTTCCGGGTGAAATGCAGGTGGGTGTCGGTGGAGGTGCTGTACACGTGGAAGAGTCGCCAGGGAGTGGCACATCTGTCAGGCACATCAGCATCGGGCCCCAGGGGCACCAAACCACTGAGCACATAGTTTACCATGGGCCGGTTTCCCAACTCGTGGAATTTAGTGACTCAGAAAGCATTGTCCCCAGAGAGGGCTCAGCAGATGTGACCCAGTCCACTCGTAGTTACACCTTGGGTGGGAAAACCCTTGTGACTGAAAAGAGCTTCCAAAGGGTCGTTTCCAAATCTCAGGATAGTGCGGGGGACATGTCAGGGGCAGAAGTGACATCGGGCATTAGCAGATCCTTTAGGCACATTCGACTAGGTCCTACAGAAACTGAAACCTCTGAACATGTTGTCTTCCATGGACCCGTGTCCAAAACATTTGCTCCGCCTGGTTCAGCGGCGCCCCCTGAGCTAGACGAGTTAGCGGACGGCAGCAGAACACTCAGGCACATTGCACCGGGGCCCAAAGAAACTTCATTTACTTTTCAGATGGATGTGAGTCACGTAGAGGCCATCCCCAGCTGGACACGAGAGGCAGGAACGGAAGCAGAAGCTCACGGTGTGTCTGACCGTGGTGGCTGGAGTCACGCGGACAGTAGGAATGACCAGGCAGCCGGCGGGAGCCTTAAGGCCCCTGCTGGGGCTGGACGCCAGGCCCACGGAGAGCAGGGCAAGGAGCAGGCAGAGTTTGATAAGACGGTGCAGCTGCAGAGAATGGTAGACCAAAGGTCGGTGATTTCGGATGAAAAGAAAGTTGCCCTCCTCTATCTAGACAATGAGGAGGAGGAGAATGATGGGCATTGGTTTTGATAAACAGAAATATTTTATTTTAAATGGCATCTTATTTGGTAACATACCAACATACAAAGGCCTTTACTGATTTCAAGGGGTGGGGGAAGGCTCACTTGTAGAACCTCTCCCTGTTCCACTTTCTTTAAACACTTCTCCAGGCAGTGTCAATTTACTTTAATCTGTAAAGGTTTCAAATTAATTCATGCCTTACAAGGCATGGGAATTTTATTTTTGACTGAGGACTTCTACAAAACACTTTTTTTCCTGGAGTTTTCTCTCCACTTCTGCAGACGCTTTCTACCAGTTTTGCACCTGGTCACACACATGGCTTGCATCTGCTTGAAACTACAGTTATCTATAGGCAAGGTGCCTAAACATTAACTAGATTAGAGTAATGACATTAATATACTGAAGAGTAACTTTGTTTGCATGTGCTAATATGAAATAATAAACTAACATTTTAAGGGAAAAATAAATACATTTTTCTCCTTCCAAAGTCTTTTCAAAAAGAGATCCTAGGAAATAAGCAGACTGCTTTTGTTAGGAAAATTTTGCTGAATGATTTCATCTTTAGGAAAAAGTTGTCATACAGCGTTAAATTCATTTAAAGACTTGAATGAATTGCTGTCTATGTGCAGAACTTTAAAAAATATAGTGTTTTATTTATGGAGAGGACACCTGTGGTCTATTGTGATATTTCAAATTATGTTTGCCCAGGTTCCCCGCACTGGGTCTGTGGGTAGGAGAGGTGATCATTGGGAATCGCTGATGGTACCATTTCTTAACGGCACCTGGTCATTAGGCAGCGCACAGCCTGAGTACTCCTTTCTGTTATAGCCTGTGTTCTGGAGTAGCCAGCTCCTGTCAGACTGAGTACACTCGAGCTTCTATGCACCCTAACCTTAGCACCCAGACACTTAATTCCATGGGCAGGAGGTAGACCCTGAAGACAATGACGAGAATGTTGATGCTCAGACTGCAGCTGGACTGGCAAGTAGGTCGTGTGCAGGAAAATTGGAAACACAAGGTGGACTGTGCCTCCCAAAGAAGCCTTTCTCCACCCACTGCTCATGGGGTGGAGGTCTTTCTGAGCGCAGAGAGTGAAAGATGAAAAAGCAACAACCACGAACCAGCCTCGCGGAAGCTTTTTTGCACTTTGAACAGAAATCATTACAGTTGGGGTGATTTGTCCAGGGAAACGAATACTGCGTTAAATAGAATAAGATGTTTTGGGGAGGGAACCGGGTAGCTGTCCTGCAGCCCAGCACTGAGACACCTAAGACGGGCCCTGGAGGGTGACTAAGGCCATCATGCTCGTGGGCCACAGAATGTGGACCTGCAGGTACACACCACTGAGTTTAAGATACTAGGATGAGTGTGCTCTGTTGGATTCATTTTATTTTACACATGGGTATTGTTTTTAAAGCTTCCATCTTTAAAGATAGATCACATAAAAGTAGTATCTTTAGCCCACAGCATTGTTTTAGTTCAGGCTAATTTCTTTCACATAATGTTGTCTGAACTGTACTTTCTATAACACAGTATATCACAGAGCTGACTGTAGTGCTCTGAGGAGTAGCGATCAGAGGTTACCACCACCTTCAGGCAGGTTGTGATGACAGCATTGGAGGGTCTTCCCTCTCGGATTCACAGAGTGGCCCTCAGACCTCCAGGGTGCACGTCTCCTCAGGTCCTGGTAGTGGCTAGAGCAGGTAGTTTATGGAGAGTGCATTTTCATAATCGATAAATGGAGGAGAAATGCAGCACGGCTTTCAAGATCTATTTTTAAAACACCATGAATCAGGGTGTAGAAAGAAAGTTGATTTGAATTGCAAGTTTAAACCTTCGTAACCCATCTGCCAAGTGAACTAGTGATTATCAGACTGGTGTGGAGGTGACTGCTTCGCACAGATTCGTCATTTCTAAGACAGTCAAAGATGTGCTGATTTTATTTTAGCTGTAATTGGTAATGGTATTTGTATAAGTGATTGATGAGAATTTGGTCAAGGCGACAGCCTCCTGTTTGATGGCAGCATAGACTGATGAAGAATCTGTTATGAATCTAAGTGGGCTGAGTGTGATGTCAGTATCTTAGCTTATAACCTTGTGAATGGATGCTGATGTGAACAGGTTATTAATATCGTGACCCACTTCCGTTTACTTTGGAACATAAATATCTTACATCTTAATTTTCATCTCCAAGTTGTAAGGCATAGCTTCAAGAAGCATTTTGCCAGAAGTAGTTACCAGTATGGAATCAGGAGCTGTCGTTGGTTACTAAGTCTCAGAATCACCCTGGGAGAGAGTGTGCTCTCAGCATTGTGACAGGTCACCCAGAACGTCTGTGTTCTTTAAAACCAGTCACTCCGGAGACAAGAGGAATCAACTTCGTGGTTGGACAAGGCAGGAACACAACCAGTCTTTTCCTATTTATTGCTGTTTAGACAAAACAGTCTTCATTGAATGTTTTTCAACTTCCCACTGGTTGTTTTGATATTGTTTGTTTAAGATGTATATTTAGAATGGAATCATCTAAGAAGCTGATTTTGTTAACCTCCTGTTCCCCACAAAGGGAAACTTCACAAGAATGTATAAAAATAAAAATCTGAGAGAAAAAACTCACATTGTTCCTAAAGAGAATATTTTCCAGTAGATTTTGGTGTGGTTTCTTTTAAACTCTAAAGAATCTGTGTGTTGACGTGCATGTTTTGAGGGTAGCACAAAATTACTGGGGAGAATATATATGAACAGTTCTAGTCCCGTAATTCCTTACTTGAATCAGAACTTGATATTGTCAGCGCAGAGCTACAAAGCATGGCACAGCATAAACCAAGTGGTGTGCATTCAAACATATACTGAACAGTTTGTGGTAAAAATGTCCTCACAGCCTGGAGGACCAGTGCCAGTAGGACATGACCAGCCATCCCATTTTGCCTGAGAGGAGGGTTTCCTGGGATACGGGACTTTGAGTGTTAAAACCAGGACTGTTCTGGGCACATAGCAGGACAGTTGGTTACTGCGCAGGTGCAAATTGGAAGGTTAGTTAATCACAGCCATTTCTTAGGTGCTTGAAAAAATTAAGGTAGGTTGAGACAAAGGAGTAGTGAGATATCTTTACCTGTTTATAATCTTTTAGCCTTTTACCAGAAAATACAAAAACATGAATAGCTGCAGTTTTCCTCTCTCGTTAACAGATTTAATAGATGGGAGACATTTGGTGGAACATTCCTAAATTCATTCTTTCCTGGGGTGGGAGTAGGGGGACTAAATTTTAAAAATGTATTTTAGTTTCTGTGATTAGTCCTCTAAGTAATATAGAAAGGAAGAAATAACAGATCAGAATTCACATTTCTTTTTAAAACCCACCATAGAATCTTAGTTTAGGCTGCTGTAACACAAAACAATAGCCCAGGTGGGTTAAACAACAATTTCTCACAGTTCAGGAGGCTGGGAAGTCTCAAAGTGCCGACAGAGTCTTCCTGGCGAGCGCTCTCTCCCTGGCTTGCGGACAGCTGCCTTCTCGCTGTGTCCTCACGTGGTGCAGAGAGACGCTCTCTTGTCTCTCGTGCAAAGGCAATAATCAGGGTTCTACCTCCTGACACCATCACATTGGGGATTAGGGCTTCCGCGTGAAGCAGGGGCAGGGGACACAAACATTCAGTTCACAGCGGATACCACCTATGTCTTCAACTACATTTGACACTCAGCGAGTAATGACCACATCTCACACCTTTTTTGCACTTTACCATCATCCCTTGGTCCTGGGTCTGGGACTCGTGGGTACCAGCAGGGATGGCTTATGTGATCAGCTGTCATGCTCCTGAAGACAAGGGACCCTGCCTCTCCCCACCCTGTCATGGCTCTTTTTATTTCCCCTATTTTTGAGGTGGAGCCCTGCACAAATGGACCCAAGGTGGTTTAGGTTTCCCACTGGGGGCCAGAGGGGAAGGGTCCTCTTAGCACCAGCCTGCAGCCTCGCTGGCCGGGGTGCATGGGATGAGGGGGTGTAGGGAAGAGGACGGCACTGCCCACACCTGCACCCTGCCCCCTCCGCCCAGCCCCCACCAGGTGCTCCACCTCGGTCCAGCATTGGATCTCCTCATTGACAGCGCGGAGAAAGGTGCCCAAAACTTCCTGCTTGACTTTGTTATTTTCACACCTATGGCCTCCCTGCCGGGAGGCTGAAGACCACTGTGGACACACCAGGTCTGTGCCCACTCAAGCAACAGCTCTCGGGCGGTGGCTTGTGTTTGTCCTGCCTTGGAGCAGAGGCCATAGGAGGAATGCAAAGCAGCCGGGAGTCGGCAGCCCTCCCTGCAGCCTCCTGTTTTGGGAAGCCTCACTCCTGCTTGCTTTTCCTCCCACTCCCCTACACCTGCCTCACCTGGCCCTGGGCCAAGCCAGGAGCACTGGCCACCTGCCCCGTTGTACTCGGCTCCTTTCGTTCTCAGGCGCTACCACTGCCACCCACCGATCCCACCAGCATTCATTCAATACCTACGCTCCAGTGCCACGCTGGATGGCAACTCCGTGTCCCCAGTTCTTAGCACACACCTGGTATATACTAAGTGCCCAACAGAAAATTCAAAGAGTGACCGAGCACGGAAATGAAGGAAGCCATCCGAGCCCCTTTTCAGGCTCTGAGGAACTCTGAGGCAGGCTTCATTTTAAAAACACATACACCAGCACTTCCAAGTTTCCCTTTATTAGCATCGCATTCTCATTTTATTCTCAATCCTTATTAGCTTCCTATAAGAAAGGGCTTTTTCCAGAATTTTGCTATTCTAAATGTGACTCCAGACCTATGCAAGGAACTATGGGTGCAATCAAATGCCAAGTCTCCTTTCCTACACAACTTCTGAAGAGAAGTCTTTCGGCCACAGTAGAGCTGATGCGTAAAAATTCTTGTTGGCGAGAAGAACCACTTAGGTGATAAAAATAAAAATGCTTTATAGACGTGCCAGATCACCCTGAAGGGCATCCACTGTCAAAATGTGGCCCGTGAGAGGTTTACGGTCTCACTGTTGCATGTTGGAGCAAACGGTTGGCCTTGAAAATCTGTAGCCTGACTGTTGAGTTCCATCTTCTAGTTGGAGAAAGATTTGTACAGCAGCCTAAATGGCAGTGCCCGGTCCTGCCCAAAGCTTGCTTTGGGGTGGGGAGGGGGTCTCAGTCTGCTGCGCTGGGCCTGGCTTTCCCCAGCATGGTGTGCCGAGGGACGCCGGTGCAGAAGGCCACTTTGGCTTTTTCAGCCTGCCCTGGCTTCATGGCGACCTCAGGGGCCCTGCAAACAAGCAGAGGGTGGAGTGAGTGTGGCGCCCCTCAGCCCTCCACACGGTTTCCACCCAGCCTTTGCTGCTGGGAAGCAGTTGCTGAGACACATTTCATGAGAAGCCTCAGGAGGGGGTGTGAGTGAGAGGAGAATCATGGCACAAGAGCATAAAACCCAAAATGTTCTTCTCCCATCTTTCAGTTCCTTGTGACCATCCTGATGGAGCTGAGGCAATGAGCCCTGAGCTGGCTTGGGGAGCAGGACATGAGCAAAGAGGACTGTCAAGGTTGGGCTGGAGGACTCCTGGTTGGCTGTCCTTCCCTGCCCTAAAAGGGCACGATGCTCCCGCTGGCTGGGCTCTGTCTCCGGACCAGGCTGCGGCCCCGCTGCCCTAAGCTCGGCTTGGCAGTCAGCCCCGGGGCTCTTGGCAGACCGAGGCTCTGTGAGGGGGCAGCCTCCACAGCAGGGGCTGAGCGAGATGCGGGGCAGGCCTTCAGGTGAAGTCAATGGACTCTCAGCTCCAGTCCTGACGGGACGGCAGGCCAAGCCAGTGCTCTGGGCCCTCCCACTCCGGCAGGTGCCTTAACCTGCAGTGGGGGCTGGTTGGTCTGTGGGAGGACGAAATCCAGCCTGTGTTTCTGGCACTGTTCAAGAGCAAATTCCTCTTTAATATCTGGGCAAGGAGGATATTTACCAACTGGGTTTTCAAAGGAACTTGTCTTACATTTAACTGCAAGTTACGGGAGGTCAGTTCGTAAAACTTCCTATGGGAGGTTCCAGAGAACCTTCTAGAACCAGCTTCCTCTGAGATTCTGAATGGAAAAGGAATGAGATGCTAAGAGGAGGTGTGAGGGAAAGCCAACTCACTTGGACAGGACGTCCACGGTCTGCTGGGTGGCCAGAGTCCTCTTGTCCTGCGCTCCGTATAAGATGGTCTGAATCTGAAGACACTGCGGAACACCAAGTAGTGATCATGAGGTCAGGGAAATGTCACTGGGAACATTTTGCAGGAAAATAAAGTCTCCCTTGAATGAGGGAAAAAATACTTCATTCTTTGACCCACGTTGTGACAGAATCTGTGCATTCTCAGGGTTTCTCCTAGGGACAGTCTGACCTTTGCTTTGGATGTTCTGAGGGATCCAGAAAACAAATGCACAGTTTTAGCGCTATTTCATAAAACTCTCTGTGGCCATCTGTATGCAAAAATATATTTAAAAGGAGTATTTTTAAAAAGTAAAGGCAAGGACCTTGGTACTGACCAGAGGATAGTTTCTAGTTTCTATTTTTAAATGGCCTTTGCTTTAGTCCCAAAAAGTTTTTTAAAAAAATAGTTGTGGACCGGGTGCGGTGGCTCAC